TCATCCATCTTCTGCTGGCCTTTCTGAATATTTCACAAAACCTCAGCGTGCCAGTTAAACACTCAACGTCCATTTGACCCTCTTGCCCTAAAATCACAGCAGGGATGTTCCAGGTAAAATACTTTAATTTGACGTTAATATACCGAGAGCCCTTTTGTCATGTGGTAAGTTGGAGGTTTCTTTTGAAGTCTCTGGGCTTGAACAGTTTTTAAAACTTTACTAAGTTCATGTAGATTTGTGGCAAAGAGGTTTATTATGGGCTGTGTACTATAGGTTGATCTGCATATAATGCTTTCATAATATATGTTACACTTTATATCCTTCTATGCATGCAGTGAGGGACCAATTAATCAGCTTGAGGGCCCTGAGGCAAAAATTACCTTTAGGCTCCTATTTCCCCTGCTTTTCTTTCACTCTGTGTGTATTGTTTATGTATTCTCTTACCATTAACCTTAATGTACACAGCACCCATGGCATGACCTTCATTACACTGTATCTTTCCCAGATACCACATACCAATCAGTGCTGCCATGCTGACTTACCATCCTGTTCCCAGGTTAATTGTGTGGTAACATGACTGAACACAAATTAATTTAATTACCAAAATTTTAAGATTCACTGCTTTAGTGTTGCATAATGTAACACAGATGTTAGTTGGGCACAGATGGGAAAGAATCATTTCCCACCATTTATTCCACTCTCTGCAGGAAGACAGCAAAACACACAGTACACATATATCATCTCCAGGTTGGTCACTGCACATCTGGACCATTATCTGTGCAAAGCAGCACTGTGAGCACTTTTACCTCAATGTCTCAAGCAACACAACAATGCTGCATAGTTCTGATATTACAGTATATACATGGACACTATGTTAGAAAATCACTAACTGAGAGCTTTTACAATTCACAATTAACATGATAATATTAACAGTAAACAATATGCATTAAAGGTTACAATTTAGATCATATAAAAAAAATAGATCCATTTCACCACACAATTTACCCTCCTCAATGCAAAGCAGCGCTCTGGTCTACAGAAACTCGGCAGGTACATTAAGGGCGATGAGCAGTGACTTAATTACCACAGGGAACTCCGGTAAATAAAAATAGCTTAGGCTGCTCAATGAGATAAAAACAAAATCATTAAATAAATAAAATCAACAAGTAAAACAATAAAATTTGGACTTAATAAATACAATAAAGTACATTTTTATCTCTGTTAGACATAAATGATTACCAAATTAATTTGCAGTCAATCAAATTACCACAAACTAATTGCCACACAATGATCCTGCAGCTCCCTGAGGCTCTGGGGCCTCAGGGCAGCTGCCTGCTTTGCTTTGTTAATCCAGTCTTGCATACATAAAATAGAAATGATTTCTTTACATGCTTAAAATGAATATTACAAGACATATTCATAATAGTTGTACCTATACAAATGTTTATGGAAACATTAGCTATATAACATGACCTGATACTGTGATATGACCTGGAGCTGTGTAAAGTAAGTTTTACATAATAGCTTTTTTCACCTCAGGTGATATAAACAAAAAAGCAAAATCGCAGTGAATAGCTCACCTATGAGTCCATCCATCCACTTTAACATTAATGTGTTTCCCAGCAGGAGATTTGAGGCAAGCCTCTCACCTGTCCATCACAGCGCTCTGAGGGCAGGCTGTCACTGGTAGGACATACCACCTGGTTGGTAACTCATTCGAGGCATCCCGCAGGGGTGGAAAAGTGATGTTTATGGCAGCCGTGCTCTGAGAAGAGCATTCATTTGCCATGGGCAGAAGAATGGCTGACGTCAGCAAAAGGGAACAAGCGAGGGCACAGGCTTTATCTTGGTGATTCATCTTTCGCTGAGACTGCTTGGAGTAGGAGATATCCACAGGGCAGAACTTGACTCAAGAGCCTTCAGAGCTCTAGCACCATGAGTGTTAAGACTGGCTGGCTGGCTGCCCCCTGGCAGGCTGGATGGCTAAGTGTTATTACACAGGTGTAACAGCCGTTTCACGCTCAGAGACTGGACTCCAGCACACCCTGGAGATCAGAGTAGAGAATACAGAGGCTGTTTGCAATGATTTCCATTCTGAGGGCTTTATAAATGCTTATGGCTCCAATTGTCTTTGGTATCCTTTGACTGCTTTTTCTTTTTTTATTTGAATTGTGCTGCGCCCTCCCCCGGCCAATCGGATGCAGCATCAAAAGGGTGCAACTGAGCTGAGTTAATGATTATTTGAAGGTTGATGAAAGTGAAAGGATTATTACTGTCAACTACTATTACTGTCAAATATCCATTACTGAGCTAGTCAGTAACAGAGTGAACACATGTAAATAAATAGGGTGATAGTTTTGGGGAAGCAAGAGTGGCGGTTTGGCACACTACTTCTAAACAGACATTAAATTTTATTGTATTTCAGATCAATTTTCAATTTGTAACAGATTGGCTTAGTGCAGCAGCAGATCCAGCAAGACTGAGAGTCTACAGCCATGCTAGCGGCTCTGTGAGGTTGTACTTAGGCACAGTGGTGCTTTGAGCTAATTGCTAACGTGAGCATGCTAACATGCTCACAATTAAAATGCTAACATGCTGATGTTTAGCTGGTTTTAAGATGTTCACCATCTTAGTTTAGTTTGTTGGCATGCTGAAATATGCTAATTAGTAGTACTAAACACAAAGCAGAGGATAGGAATGGCATTAGCTCTTCTGGTATTTGGTCATAAACCAAAACATTAGACAAATTGAAATTTTGACCTGATGATGGCGCTACATGAATAGTAAAGGGATTACCATAGTGATTACAATTCATCCTGAGGGGAACATGAACATCTGCGCCAGATTTCAGCGCAATCCATCCAATAGTTGTTGAGATATCAGGCCGACAGGCTGACATTGCCATCCCTGGAGTCATGTAGCTAGTGTAGCTAACAAGAGTCAATGGTCTATTCCCTGAATTCCTGACAAAGCTTAGGCCTTGATCAGTTGTCACTAAGGTAATTTCTCCTGCTAATCATATGTTTCAACCGCTTCCTGAAATTAACAAATCCACAGGGATTTAGGTCTTGACCTATGTTGCTCCACATCAAATGACCTCCAAAAAACTTTGAGCCACCAGGCAGTGGCTTTATATCCAGTATAGTCACACATGGTGCATCAGACCACCTCTCTGTCATCTCTAATAGCACCAGCACCAGGTTGCATGTCTGGAACGACAACTGAGATCTGGAGACTTTCCCAGACTCAATAGTTGGTCGCCTCTGCCACTGTCTGCTTTAATAACCACATCCAGCCAAAAACACAGACGAACTGCTCAAATTAAAGCTCATTGGCTTCAAAATGCAATGCATTTGCTAGCCCTGCACTGTAAACACTATGTGTACAGTAAAACCAAGCTCCTCTCCCGACATAATATAGACTTCATTAGTTCCTCAAACTTTTATTGGCATTTAGAGATTCCTAAATGTCTCCCTAATGGACTTATTTATTTTATTAAGACTATGCTATGGGGAGGGAAATGTTTACTCTCCAATGATGCCTACATGCAAAATTCTGTCACCTTGGCTCTGATGCCACCTTGTAATAAAACAGGCAGTGAGGCACTGAGCACAGTGGGTTCAGTTGGAAGACATATTCTGCCTGCGAAGCACATTTGTTTCCGAGAACAGGTATTTAAGGGGATGGAGAGTGGAGAAGTGAAGGCTTGTCTGACCAAGCTCATTAAACCCACTAGGTGTTCTTTAACGTAAATCTGATGTCAGCACTTAGTCTGATGTCTTAGTGGATGGATGCCACAGTGCTTAAACTGCATAACCCCCCCCACGGCTTGCTCTTAACCATAAACCTGCTCATATCATAGTCTCCCTGGTGGTAGGGCACATCATGCAAGATACCATGCAATTTCAGTTCAGGCTTTCAACTCACACTGATGCTCAGCGTACCTCATTATAATGAGCGTATGGGATGTTAGGTCAAGGCAGACGAAGTGATGCCCATAAAAAGAGAAAAAAATATAATTACCCAGAGTATTAAGAAATTAAATGTGCCCTGAAGGCTTGCTGCAGCACAGAAAAACTAAATTTCTACTTTATTTGACTCTGAGCACACTGACCTCAAATATGCAAATACTATGTGGCCAAGTGAGGTAGTCTCAAACTATCCGTAAACAACTTTACATTATATAATAATAATAATAATACATTTTATTTCTATAGTGCTTTTCAGGACACTCAAAGACACTTTACAGAAGAAGTTATGTACATTTAAAACACATAAAAAACATATATAGCATAGATAAAAACATGTGGTGCAGAAATTCAGACATTAGTTTAGCAGGACTGATGCCAGACTAGAGTGGAGTTTGCACAAGTGTCTGCTGATCCTTTGTACCATGTTGCCAAATGTATAGTGTGCTAGACACCACAAGGCTTTATAGCCTGCATCCATCTGCTCCATCCTACACAGTATGATCCCATGTGATGCTGTGGACTGAGAATATGCAGCTGACAGCTGGCAAGACCTGCAATAAACTTTTTTTCCCCTTAAAAACTGGCTTAAGTATAGTCATGATTAATACAAAGGCCTTCTGAATGTATTATGAGCATCTGTGAATTTCTTAGAACTTTAGTACATAACTTTAAATATAGTAACCTATCAAACTTGTAAATATTTAAAGCACATAGATAAAAGAAGAAATAATGCTTTTTATTTTTATTTTTCTGTAAGCTAATAAGCTAACTAATAATAATCACGATGTGTTCCTCATGTAAATTCACCCTTTAGCCCAGAATAATTTTCGTAATTTGTTAAATCAAAATAAAACTGACTCGTGGACAAACAACTGATTCCCTTGACCTCATGTGCATTTAATTTTCTCGCAGCTCTTCCCCCACTGGCGATTACCCACGTGGGTCTCGTTAATCTGACGGACTGCACATGTTTAAGGATTTCTATCCGTGCCTGTTGCTGTCCCGCGGTGCCAGCTACCGGAGAACACCCCTCTCATCATTTAGAGAAACCAAAGGAGGAGACCGTATTTTACCACGATTCCAGATGCAACAAGGCGAGGCTTTATGTGGATTAGGAAGTAAACCAGTATATTTTTATTTTACAGTTGATCCTCTAAAGTCATAGGAGATAAAACTTCACCGGGAATCAGACAATGTAAGGATTTTCTTCCACCGCTTTTTTAACCGACTGCAGACAGGCACCAAAGCTGACCTCGGTGCGCACCAGAGGGGGGAGCAGAGCTGACGGCCAGAACCTGTAACTTTGTTGAAATGATGCTCAACTTTTCCCACCGTTCATTGTTCCCAGCTGTGGTAGTGGCTGTTCTCACAGCTGTTAAAGGTGAGCTTTATGACGAGTTGCAAACCCTTTTCTGAATTTTATTTTATTTATTTAATTCTAAGTCTTAATTGCTTCATGCGTGTTGGAGCAGACCCAGGGAACATCTCCACACATGTTAAAATAACTGGGTTGGAAGTAGTTTAAAGGCTCCAGCTGTGTCTTAACAAGGGAACATTAATGGGGATGAAATGAGTATGTGCTCTTTGATATGCTTTGATGATCAAAACGCACAGGATATGCAAGATTTGCTTTATTGCCCACCCCCACCGCCTTAGTTATGATTCTGATATCTACAAGATGGGGCAGTATACTGCTGTTTGCTTTATTCTATTATTAGCACATACTGTAAGCAGGCCCAACTAAAAGAGTGGTAATGTACATTAAGAGGTCTTTGAGAAGTGAGCCTTAAAATGTAGAACAGTTTAGAAACTGTTCACATTAGGATTATAAAACCATTTTGTTGAAGGATGTGTTTAGTGGACTGGCTGTGTAAGGAGGGCTGTGTTATTCTATTTTTGAGGGATTTTATGGTTACTACACTTGCCCTGCGCCCATTTCATTGTCCCTCTATCTAAATGAAAGTGGCAGCATGCTCTCCAGTGTGCATTGGGTAGCCTCCTCTGTGGGATTAGAGGCCTGAAGCTGAGGCTGCACAGCTGTTTCTGTGGTTGTTGAAAACCTGCATGGGGAGTGTATGAAGTCACGGTGAGCTGTGTCTCTCTCTCTGTGATGCCAATGTCATGCGAAAAAACTACTCTTCGTGATTGCCTGGATTTATATCTGCACGTGAAATCTGTGTGGACATTTTCAATGTACATAAATGTGGGACTGCTGTATTGCTGCTAGTGAAGGAATCAGCTGTGCAGCTGTGTCCTCAATGCAAGTGATATAGTTCAGCCTTTGATATCTTCCTTGCTTGGCCTCCATGAATATGTATGGCAGTCTTATCTTTCAGTCCAGTCACAGATGTGTGGCCTGTTGTGTCAGCGGGCCTGTCTGAGGTTGAACATTTGTAAGAGTAGTTTTAATATATGTAAAATAATTCATTTTTCTTCTAATGTCACAAGCCAATATACTTCATGGAATCCTGCCAGGACTCACCAAATAATTGTCTGATCTATAGATAATATGTTCACTGATGTGCAGCAGTGTACTTTACTGTTGCATGATGACACTTTTATTTTTAATGTGTGTCTCCCAGACCCGTGTTTACTAGCAACACATGAGTGTGTGAGCATTACCTATAGTCGTCATCTCAGTGTGAACTATGTCCTTTCCCCGTCAGTGTATGGTTAGACATGTTGCAGACTTGTTTTGAACCAGATTTTTCCTCATTCCAGTCCAAGTTCCAGTCTTAGCATGCAGGATATACTGCCATGTGATCAGGGACAGTTAGTATGAGGATATACAGTATATTAACAAGATGGATTTACAACCTTGGCAGTATCCGCCGGTCTATTAAAAAGACTCTTGATAACAGCCAGCAAAAGTCTGTTTTTAGATGAAATTCTAAATATTCAGACATTTCTCTCGTGCTTGGAGTACAATACCAACCAATAAAAGCACAAACATTTACCAAAGAATAATTTCCCAATTTAAACTGATTTTAATTCATTCCTGTTTATTGCTAAAAGCCAATAATCATCTAAAACCGAAAATCTCAGATATGGATAATCACCAAAATCTGATTAGATGATCTTTAGCTTTGGGCCCACCTGTCAACCAAATGTAATAGAAAATGGTCTGTTCTGAGGTAGACTTCAGAGACAACAGCAGTAACACAGTCTAATTAGTGGAGATAATAAGGGTACCATAGAATGTATTATTAATTAATATTTAAACTAACTCATTTTGTTCTGATAGCCCCAGGTTGACAGATTTACAGCAGGAAATAGGGCATTGAATTGAGACAGTTGAATCACCTATGCATTATGTTTCATTTAACTTTTGGCTTGCCTTAATTCTGCTGATATCATGCAAAAACCATGTGTACCAGCCAATATCTATTTTGGTATGTGAAAATTCCCTACAGCATCAGTCTGATCTCTGGAATCAACAAGACAGTTTTCAGAATAGTACATTTTAGTATCAACTCTGACATCTGTATTTTTTCATATATTTTCCTTTGCCCTCAGAAATAAAATTAATTTACATATAGATGTATTCATGCAATATGGTTTGAAAATCAAAAAAGAATGATATATCACTTGTAAGACCTTTGGGCGTACGGGTAGGGGTGGGGGTGGGGAGGTGGAGGCGGTTCTGCTTTGCCTTACGTTTGCCTTTTAGATAAGTTATTTTTATGAGGTAGGGAAAGTCAAATTCACACATTAATTCTAGAGGCCTTCAGCACGGAGGATGGCAAATTACCAAGTGTCTTTGGCAGGAGGAAGTGGAAAAATGTCACATGCAGCATTCTGTTGGGACAAACAGTCATCTCATCGAAGTTACAAGAAGGGCTTTTTGCCATTCCCTTTGTTGCAGCGCAAAGAAGTAATTCATGGAGAGCAGAAAAATGTAATTTACAGGTATAACTGAGACATTTGGTGCACAGAATTCCATATAAGAGTTATGCTCATAGTATTGTTGTATTTTAGTACTAGAAATAATTAGGGAATTTATGTGGTTAATTCCCTGAAATAGAGCCATTTTACAGAAGTGACCATGTGGCAGACTTTCATTTGGCTGAACATTTAATCAGCAACCTGTGGATTTACCATAGGCCTAATTATTACCATCTGGTTACATGGTATGCAATAAAAATGACACTGTCTGGTCTTTTCCAAACAGTCCAACTACACTGAGTGCCATCATTTTCACAGGGGTTTGCTCAGGGTCATTTGAATAGTCTCTTTTACAGACACGTAGAGCCAGGGTTTGCAGTCACATGAAATGCCAGCGTGAGCAAAAATGTTTGGAACAGAAAGCTGTTTAAAAAATGACTTTATGCTCTTACATAGCAGTTATGATGGTCCTAAAAATGAATGATCTTAATTACAGTTGTTCAACAGTGCAGATCAGTCCGTTATCTAGCACAGTTTAACTACTAAAGGCCAAATCTTGAACTGTTCCAACCCATTTTTGTGCCTAACATCTCTCTCTCCCGTTTGTCTGTCTTCTCACATTCCTCCATTTCTTTGCTTTCCCTTTTTACAGTGCAGGAGCTACATGTGGAAATGAGACATTTTTGATGTATCCACAAGTCACTACTTTACCCTGAGTCTCACCTGCCCTTGGTTCCTTGAGATGACCAAACTGCCCTCACCAATATTTCTTGATCCCTCTAGCACCCAACTTATCACAAGTTTCGCCAGACATGATCCCTTTGTCAACCATTCATCTTCCCGCCATACCGATAAAATGTTCTCAATTAAAGTGTCTGATTCTGTAAGTGGCAACTGTGTGTATCTTAATTTCCAACCTTACACTGAAAGGTTGAGTTTAAGCAGCAGTAGAGTAGATATTGCACTAATGTCTAAATTCTCCCCTCCCAGTTGCTGAAAGTCAGGTGGTTGCTGAGGACATTTGGATGTCCTCCACCTCATCTCCAGGTTATCCCACCGTCAACTTTAAGGTGCTCAATGTGAACCACGTGTTTCTGAGGCAGAACACTCCAGAGCTATCAGGGAACTCCAGCATGAAGGCTCAGACTCAAACTTTTGTCATCACTGGTCCAGGTGCTGGGCTTCTCCAGCCATCTATCAACGCTTCATATGGCCCCCTGACTGTAGATGCCCCAATACCTCCAGACCAGCTCCTCAGTGGGCGCAAGATTCTGCCAGTCATTTTGGTCCGCCAGATTCGTTCCTCATCCCCTGTTGTCAAGATTCTCTTCCACATGCCCACAGAAAGTGGCATTACTGTTGGGCAAGAGAGGATGGGGTTGGGAGAAGATAATGGGAGCGCTGGAGCCAACGCAAAGGATGGAGCTCACTGTGTGACGGCTTATGCATTCTGGGAGACAAGGGAAGTTCGTGGGGCATGCCTGGTGTCTCCAGGTGGATTCTGTGTGGCACATCTGAAGCCAGAACCCACCTGGTTCAGCTCAGCTAGCCGATCAGACAGCTCTAGCAGGGAAGCAGGAAGAAACGAGGGAATTAAGGGGCTTCAGGGGAACCTTGTGGAGGTCTACTTCCAGAGTCGGAAGGATCAGACGGGCCGGTGTACCCCGCAGGATAGCCTGCAACGTGTAGGAGTGGGAAGAGGAAGAGACTCTGGGGGATCAGGGACACCGATGAAGCGGATAGGAAGTGTCAGTCTGCTCAGAACTCCACCAGGGAACCCGATCTATTTTCGACTGAGGCTAGGAGGCGCTGTGGTGATCCAGACTTCTTCTAAGCCTCTGAAGACCACAGACATCGCAACTTTCTATGTCTTCCTGGCAAGCACATCTACCCTGGAAAATTTCACTCTCAGGTGAGAGATTGTCACTCTTTTTTCTTTATCAGGCTGCTTTCGAAGAAATTGATTGACATTTTGGGAAATAGGGTTTTCCCCGCAGATGAGCCCTTGCAGTTTACCGGGAGGTGGGGGGTGGGAGGTAGACTATTTCCTGGCCTTGAACAGGGACTTCCTGAAGTCTTCACTGAGCCTCACGATGATGATGATGAGACCCAAACCCAAAAAATAGCGCACCACACTACTACAAAACTACTCGTTTTTACACTTTCTTTCTTGACAGACAAGATATACATGTCCATTAGTGAGCTTTAGAGGTACTAATAGGATTTGCTGCCTTTGGACAGAGCCAGGCTAACTATCCCCCCCCCCCCCTTTTTTTTTACTACTGGCTGTAGCTTCATGTTTACCAGACAGACATGAGAGTGTCCATGGATGTTGTTAGGCCTATTTTAGGGGGGCTGAAGCTACCCTAAAATGGTAAACATGTTTTAATGCCAAACTTTACTCCATATGTGCGCAGCATGGTGTGTTATTTAAATAATGACAATGAATTACCCGAACATTTTAATCCGTGTATCATTTGTTCATATATAGTTTGCCGAATTAACTGATAACAGTTAATTTTTGCTGTGTACCATTGGATGCACTGACAACTATCACTAAATTACTTCTTAATTCTACTTATAATCTTAATAACCGGAGGATTCTCAGGCAAGTTCCCATTCCTGTCCCAGTAGTTACACGTATGCAGTGAGTTACATTGTTTAGCCTACTGAAATACACACAAATGGGAAGCTTTGTTGTTACACAAATTGGACACATTAAATAGGCCATCAAAATCAATATTCCTGTTTTGGTTTTAAAAAAGAAAAACATAAACTGATGTCTGTATTTTTTTTTATTTCTTTTTTTCCGTTCTGGTTTTAAAACGAAAAAAACTACGATCAACTGCAAACAAACTGCAAGTCGAGATGTCTTTCAGGTCTAGTTATTTTACCAGGTCAAAACACAAGAGTCTTACGTCAAGTTGCATCTTCCTTCCTTCCTTCTTTCTGTTAATTTCTACATTAAATGTTTTTGGCATTTTTATATTCATTCGTGTATTATTCTATAGAGGTTATACTCACTTTAAATGAATTCTGCTGGTTGTTTTGCATGCCTACAGTAGTGGTAATGTTGATGCCACAGATGTCGGTGCTGAAACCTGGATCTGCTGTTTTAGTAGAGAATAAACTAATATTACACTGAACCAGGATAACTACATACTGTAGTATGCCAACATCAAATTTTGGCCCTATATAACCAAATAAAGCAAGAGGGTGTTTAGCGTAAATGCCATTCCCAGAAAACATTATAATTATTCAACTATGTTGCTGAGTTTGCAAAGGACAGAGTTTAAGAGGAGTAACATAAAATTTAATTGTCACTGAAACATGCGAAGCAGAAAAAGAGACTGAAACCAAGTTGAATCATCATGATGTACAGTATATCTGAGCATCGTCAGAAAGTATAAGCTCCATGCATTTAAATGGTTACTTAAGGCACTTAAATACTGATGGGGCATGTCATCAAGGCCATTCAGTATAACGCTTGGCCACCAACATGACTTGTGTTGTCTGCCAGTTTCACTGGCTTCATAAATTACTGACATGTTATATCCTGTCTACCTCAACTTTTCAGTTAGTGTGGGAGTTATGGAGAGCACTCTTCCATAAACAAGGAAATAATTGGCAAATGATTCACCGGTTTTCATATCTCAACATCCCACTAACATTTCAACAAGGTTCTCGAGGTATTTGACTTCATGCATAATGCATCTATTTAATGGAGCAGGAAAACAAATAACTAAAATCTTCCCGACTCCTTTGGGTAAAAGTGAACTTAATATAAAAGCAGCCCTGCCACACTGTAACACACAGTTCAATCTGTTTCAAAGTTTTAACTTACTGCCTTTTGATGCACATCACTGGGTGGAGTAGGATTGTTTTTATCAGAATGCTTCAGATCAGTAAACTGTAAAGCCATCGCTGTGAGGTTTGCGTTTCCAGTCTTTACTCAGCTTAATGGTTTTGTTTGAAACGCAAGACAACTTTCTCTCTTAATCCCATGATTTAGTAATATCATGCTACAAACAACATACCAACCATGCAGTAATCTGTAGTAGGATGCGGGCAAATGGAGAGGAATGTTAAGATATTAATCCATAGGGAACATACAGTAGTTAAACCTGTGGCTGTGTGTCAGTCAATACCACTATATCAGACGTTCCAGACCATCCACAAACACAAACATGCCTTCGCACACACACAAACACACAGACCCAGTGACCTGAATGTAGCTTCGCTTGCATTGCTGAAATCAGAGGATAAGAGTTGGTAGAGAGACGCTGACTCTGTAACATCTGCTGTTGTTTTGACTATTTGGAAGGATTTACAGCCTTTCTACCTGAAATTCCCCAAACTCTGACTCACTGACCGTACCACTAAAGTTCCTCCTGTCAGGTCAGTGATTTCAGTCCATGTATTTCTGACCTATTGCCACATCCAGATTGAAATTGGACAAGAGGACTGGACTGAGTCCAGCGGTTAAGTCCATGTGAAGGCTAGCTCTGAGGAGCTTGGCAAAGTGATTGATTCCTCCTGGGAGAAATCCCTGCTCTACTTCACTCTTTGGCCCAAGATTGAGTCCACTCCAGCAGGGTTAGGCCAGATAATCTGTGTCCCTGATTGAAAATGAATCAAGAAGTTAACCCTTTGGGGGAGAGATGACCAGGATTAACTATGTACGTGTGTGTGTGTGTGTTTGTGTGGTTTGCAAGGTCATCATGCCCACCTGTGCTTGGAAACGAAACATTTGTCATTAAACATTCCATCAGATCAAACATTTTGTGAGCTTGTATTTAGGTAAAAAAGTTCCAGCTTTCACATTTTTAAACAGAGAGACTGACGGACTTTGGTAAAACAGCAGTGAAGAGTTGTTCAGTTTACAGGTCAATATCCACTCTGTCCCCCATGTGTGGTCATGAACTGTGGGTAGAGGCTGAAAAAGACAAAGAGCGAGAATAGAGTTGCCGAAATGAGGTTTCTCTGCAGGGAGGCTCTTGTTTGCTTGTGGGCGAGAAAGTCAGTGATCCGGGAAGATCCTGGCATTGAGTTACTGCTCCTCTGCACTCAACAGCAGCCAGATGAAGTGGTTCGTACCCCGGGGAAGGATTGCCATTAGGCACTGTTGTCATTGGGATGCTCAGCTGGAGAAGCATCAATGAGTAAATAGATGTAAGTAGTTATATTGTTAAACAGTAGAAAAAATATATATCATATGTTACAATTGTCCTTGATTGAAACATAATCTGTTAGCTTGCTCTCCACTTATTATCCTGTTTAAAAAAAAATTAAGATTGACTGAAATTAGGAAAACAACAGATCTATCATTTTCCAAAATTAGTTTTTTGAGTTATTTTCTTGATCTGCCAGCTTATCTCTACAAATAGATCAATGTTTATATTTATTGTATTTAAAATAGTCAGTCAAATTGTAAACTGAAAACAAAACACAAATATTTTGCCTTTAACTACAAAGTTTTGATCCAGAAATTGATCGCTGGATGTCTTTATATCCAGTATTTGTTGAAATGTAAGCTTATCAAATTTTTTCAAAGACCAATTGTGTGTGTGTGTGTGGAGGGACATATGCATATACAATGCATATAAATAGAAAAATAAGCATTTCTACAACAAAGTATATTATACTAATCTACATTAACTTTGAGTCTTCACTTTTACTATCAGACCATGAATTGGCTTGGCTTGAGGGCCACTGCTAGAATGTAGAAAACGGGCACTTCTACTAAATCCTAAATATGTGTCGTAACATGCTGATGACAGGAACAGAATATGTGGTAGACATAATAAAGGTGTAGATCTGTCATTTCTGGTATTCAGCAGATGAGACAGGTGGTGGAGGTTTATGGTATTGTGAATGTGTTTACCTTAGCATTCGTTTTTATAGTTTTGCTTTTTTTGTTTTCGTTCGGACAATAAACATTCCGAGATTGTTTTGGTGGTTTCAATCCAGTGGCATTCGCAGTTTGCAAACCTAATATGACACCTCATTGAGGTTAAGGTTTTTCAAATTATTCTTGGCATGAATAGCCTGCTGATAAAACTGCAGAACCTGAGTGATGCTCTTGAGTAAGCATGGGCTGAATTCCCTCTGGAACGTTTCCAGCACCTAGTTGAATCCCTGCCATGAGGAAATTGGTCTGTTTTGGAAACACATAGCTAGGTGTCTGTCTGTGCGAGTGCAGATTAGTGAATCATTGCATTTAAAACGTGGGTCAGAAGTGTTTTGTGTCCCGTGTATCTCTTCTCAGGCTACGGCTCAAATAACTCCTCTTTGACCCTGTCCAATGATAATTGACATAACAATTTAGCAGAGGGACATCTGCTTTAAAAAAACACAACGGCTTGGTAACTGTTCGACCACCAAGACTGTCTGGTCCACTCACATTATTTATAATAAGCGTTCTATCTCTTGTAGCAGAGTGGTGAGTCTGAATCAGACATCTGATTAACTGATTCCCACTTGTCCCCAGGGCTAATGGCAATAAATACCCCTGCTAATTCTCAGTCTGCCGCCACCATGCAACACATCAGTCTGTCGATGACTCACCTCGCTAGGCACAACATGAATGACTAAACACACAAACGAACATAAACAAAACATGCGCATGTATGCACAGAAAAAGCATGCTTTTGCAAGCAAATACACACAGTCCTTAGTACCCTCCCACATGCTTTCCTGTACACAGACAACAGATCTTTTACAAATGTTGGATTGTAGATACAAAAGACACAGATGGTCATTATTTCTGTTGAGCATTAGAGCATTTTTACACTGTATTGTTCTTTTACTTTACACAACTCCCATCAAACCTTGGATAGTAAATAAGAGAGCATTTGGAAGTAAAATTCACACTTTGCACTAACTGGACTATGTATCTATATTTCTATATTTCTATATTTACTGCAGGGCAACAGCAAAAACGGGCCTGTCATTTAGTGCAGCGCGACCCAGTGACTCTGCGCTGTGGGACATCGTAGTGGAGCCTGGCAGAGGAGCAACTCCCAACACTGTCTCTGTTGTCTGTCAGAGGAAGGTTGCAATCACCGCAAAGAGGTCAGTCCAGTGTTAGCGGTTTGTGTGTTTTGTAGTTTATCTACACATAAAAATCTTATCAATTCTTGTTGTCTCTTATTGTCTTATTTCTGAGATTTCTATAATCTCTGCTGCTTCCATAAGGAAAGTTGATCAGTTATCATGAACAAAAATCCTTTCAGTGTTGCTTTGCAGAGCATTAGCAAATGGAAAGTGAATGATTTTTATTTTCCAGAGGAAACGTAATCATTTGGGGCCCTGTACTCTGTGAGCACACAGTTTTGCTTTTGTCTGTGTAAAAGAATGTGTTATGGCATCCGTTCTCACAGACTTGCATTTGTCAGTAGAGATGAGAGAGTACATGCGCTATAAGAAATGAGTTTTAAAAATGTATACCCACTCTGCTGCCCTTTTTTGTGCAGGAGTTATTCTGACAAAAACAATCCTGACTGACCATCTAACACTCATTTCCAGTGTCAGTACAGTGTCTGACAACTACAGAATATTACCATGATACTGCAGGAACAAGAACATTGCAAGTCTCCGGCTGTGTTTAGTTTTAGGTTGCACCGAAGCTGTTAATGGAACGCAGTAATGCTCAAACATTAAGGATGGCTTCCGGTTTGCAAAAGACTTTAGCTTAGCTTAGCTTAATCAGTTACTCAGTTCAGTTCAGTTTTTTTTTTCTTGAAACAATTATTTTGATCATTTATTACAATGATTACAACAACTACTTCTGCCAACACCAATCACCCCAGCACCACACAGAAAAAAACCCATATACACCTTTTTACACTAAGTTATACAGAAAATAAATGCATTTGTTAGTAAAAAGTAAAAAACATCTAGAAAGAAAGACAGACAAGAAAAACAAAATTAAATCAGGGGAAATTGGCTTAAAATTATTTTCATATAATCCAGGTATCTTGTACCCTCCCTTTTCCGCTCCACATTCATATGGCTATGATGTCATATGGCTTTGATATCTCAAATAAATTCTCCTAACCTATAGTCCCAGATATGATCTTAATTCAGATAGATGGTCAATTGGGAACTTCACTTACTTCAAAGAAAATTTACTGAATGCTTAGTCCCATTAGTTATCATCTCCATTAGGGTCACCCGTTTTACTCTCCAAATGGCTTACATGTGAGAAAAACAGTAGCAGCAAATAAATCAAATTACTGTTGACGTGCTTGCACTATCGATTTAATAGTAAATTAATATTAATTTCACAGCATTTTTCACTGCCTGATTTACCTGTTACAACTGGTGTGTATCAGGTTTGCGTAATTCTGGTGGTGGCACATATCAACAGCCACCTCTGCCCAGCAACCTCCCGCCCACACAGACCCACTTATCCGTAATCATCCATAATCACGGCTACGTTATCCAGGCTTAAGCGCTTGCACATTCAGAAGGGGAGATTAGGAAGAGAGATATTCCAAGTCGCGTCCCTTGTACTGAACTCCCACCAGGACACACACACACACACACACATACACACGCACACACTCCTACCACTGCGTTTGAACTGATGATACGTCCAGGGATTTAAAGTCCCCCCTAATAGATGGATTTCCAAGAAATAGGGGCATTAACCCCTTCTGTGTCTAGTTCTCATGCAGCCTCTTGCAGTATTTCAATATGAATCCTTTCAATCTGTTTTGAAATCTGTCCATTTCCTTTATGAAAATACAGGAAGGACAAAGACCAAGTGGACATTTTAATTTAATTTAGTGTGGAACGGGTTTATTTTGTATGCTTTCAGGTATATTTGCCCAAGACACACATGAGTTCAGGCATGTGTAAAGGTACAAAGACACAGATTAGACATTAACTTGATTTAATTCCGTACAATATTTCAACAAAATAAATTTCAAATTTTGTCTAATTGTACATTTGGCATATGAAGTTCAACACTGGATCAATAACCCTCAATGGATGCTGTTAAAGGAATACAGTAGTTGGACATTTTGGGAAATACGTTTATTTGAGAGTTAGATGAGATGATTGATATCACTCCTATGTTTGTACAGAAAATTTGAGGATGCAGCAACTTAGCTTAGCTTAGATCAAAGACTGGAAACTGCGAGCCTGGCACTGTCCAAAAGTTTAAAAAAATCCTCCTACCAGTGTTTCTTAAGCTTTACCACTTTACCACTTTTTAAACCACATTGTAAAATGTAAATGTAATAAGCAATTTGTAGTTTAACAGTGTCCCCTTTGTTTCCAGTCTTGATGCTAAGCTAAGTTAGCCAGCTGTTGGCAGTAGCTTCATACTGGGCTTGCAAATACAAGAGTGGTTTCAATCTTCTGAAATAACTTACGATAAGAAAGAAATTTCCCCAACTGATGAACTTTTTCTTTTAAGGGTATTGGTAATAACTGCAATGTTGGTTTGCTATCCTTCATCTTTGTTGGGCTTTGTTGAGAAATATTCTTTATGGTCTCCATTTTTTGCTTGTCAAGTCTTGTTATGAGGTTGTCAGTGAAATGACTCAGCAGTAGTTTCCCTTTGTGGAGCTTCAACATGACATCTCTGTGAGAGGCCTCGAGTAGTTCAGGAGAATCTCACCCTCAGAGATGTCAAACAAACTGAAATTGTTTAAATAAGCCGAAAAGAAAAGTCCTAATTGAACTCACGAGTCTACTGCCTGGAGCATCAGCTTTAGAATACTCTTCTTTCTTTAAAAAAAAAATGTGGTCAATACTTTAACTACACAGTCCACAGCTTATAGATGCACACAGCATAAATATTTTTAAATGTTCATACTGGTATGTGTTTGTCATTGTTGCTGCTGAATTTAATAATTGTGACTTTTTTTAAAATGTGGGTTTTAACCATGTGCTGTAGAGATTCATTGTTTTGCTTTATGCAAAGTTTTGCTCCACATCAAAGTGCCACAGCTCCATTCACATTCTGCTCTATTTTCCCTTTGATCAGTTCCTTCTGGCAGGTATGCAGGCACACACTCTCTCCAGCATCAAATAACATCACATGCCATTTCTTTGACAATCCTTTGACCAGAATACTTGGCTTGAGTCTCTGCCAGCTCACTTAATCTTCCTTCCACATTCTCACCTTATTCTTCCATCTGCTGATGAAAATGAGACTCTTGTGTATTGCGTTCACTTTTGGTTCAAACTCTACAGATTTTTTTTCACAAATTTCAGAGTAATTTCTTTCTTTTTCATATTCATAGGCAGTGTCTCTCCAAGGAACCCAAGAGAATACACACCTCCAATCACCGCCTTCCGCAAAGCATCTTTGTCTCTTGACACCAGACAGACAAAAAAGTTTTAATAACAATATTTAGCAGGGTAACATTAGGTTTCTGTTGGATTTCTAACTGATTGAAATTACACCTTTTTGTCTTGATTATATAACTGCTTCTTCTAGTAATTTAACAGTAGACTGAACGGACATGACTGTAATTTAACTTCATATAGTGTGCTAACAATATCTTAACACTCTCCAATATTATCATCAAAATGAACTCTACAGTTGAATTTGTCATAAAACTTGAACTATCTGTGGGCAGAGACTAAGTACTAGTTCATGTTTCATTGCTCTCCACAATTAACCCTTCGATTAAAATCCCATTTAGTTTTATTACGCATTTTTCTGTTATATATATATATACACACAGTATAACCGTTTTGCTCTCTCTACATCTGAATTAATAGTAAATGTGAAACAGCATTGCCTTTATTGACATTACATGCACAGAATGGCAGGCTCTATGTTTTATTAGGAATGCTGTTTGTATTGTTTCAGTGAACATTCAACCCAAAACATAATAGTTTTGATTTTAAAGTGTACGTATGTCTCCAAAAACTATCTGATTGCAATATTTTAAAGCAAGACTATGTCACTTTTAAAAGAAGAAATAGCAAATTCTTGATCCTACAAACGAAACACTGAATGTATAAGCATTAAAACCACCTTTGCTCAACTAAATGCACTCACATATGGCGGCTAATGATAGCTAATGTTAGAAAACTTTAGATAGATTTTGCAGTCAGTTCACTGACTCTTGTTGACTTGTGCCACTGTTATACTATGTTTTAGCATCTTGTGGCCATGTTGGCTGCTGTTCAGCAAAGGTTACCAAGGCCTGCTTTAACTTGTCTAACCATATTGTATTTTAAAAACATTTTCTCTAAACAGGGGTCTTCTGGAAGTTTTACAACTGGACTTTGTTCCAAAAGATGTTTCGGAGCAGGCTGAGAGTCAGATGATCTCCTGGCGTCTGGAGTTGATGGGGAACATCAAGGATGTGGGCATAATGCGGATATATACAACTCAGCGAGACTATGTAGGGTTGGCACCTCTGGTCATGGTGAGGATGATGTCTTTATTCATTTCTCTGCTGTTCAAAATGTGGACTTTATAGTTCATATTTCTGCTTCTTAAAATTACATTACACATAGAAGCACTGCATTCACCCCTACAGTTAATTGTTGCTTTTGAAATTAACATCATATCAGCTAGTCACTTTTGTTACCGATCAATTTTTTTATTCAGTTTTTCTTCCATGTCAAATTATTATAGGTCTGCAAAGCAGAGTTTGATAAGATTCAAATCACCTGTTTGCAAAAGACACAATGTGATTGCAGTATTATCTATGATATATTAATACTGTTTTTTATGTTTTGACTAATTTCCTGCTGCTATGTATACTCATCTCAAAAACCTTTTATTATGAGACGACCATCAGAAATTACAAGGTAGATGCATGTCTGTCTTTGACAGGAGATTCAGTATGCTATTTCATGGTACAATAGTCAACATGAATCAAACAAACATTGGGGAGCTTCATGTTTCATCTCAGTTACAAGATTCAGATGAGGGGTTAAAGAACTTTTTTCTTCGGTTAACAGTGGAGTGAATAGATTTATTTTAGCTCTAGGAGGCTGTGTCTCTTTTCCCTTAAAATGAAATTAGTGTAGCTTTATATTTATAGCAGAACAAATTTCTGTTCCATATGTGAAGCACCCCACCACTACAGATGTAAATAAATAAAAGCCGCACAGCAGTAGAACATTTACATTTATTACAATCATTATTGAAGGAAAGTGAAGGAAAGGCAACGTGGCTCTTGCCTCACAGCCAAAAAGGGTGTGTGTTTGATTTTCGGACCTTTCTGTGTGTGGTTTGCATGTTCTTCCCATGAAAACAAAGTGTTCATCTCCTTTTCATATAATCCTATAAATGATTTAGCACTTAGACTCACTGAATGAACAAGTAAATGAAGCACTGACTGAACGAACAATACCAGGGCTTACCACAGGGTGTAAATATAACGCTGTTTTCAGAAAAGAAGCAGATTTAAAACAGCTGAACTACTTGAACCAGATTATAGCAGAGCTTGCAGAAACATCGGACGTCAAGATCTCACTGTGTGGCGCTGCCAACGCCACAGAGCGCCGATATTGCTTTCTGATTTTGTGCTACCCCTGATCCAGTGGCTTATGTTTGGGTCAGTGTCGCAGTCTGAACTAGATCATGTCCTTTTGGAATTGCGGTCAGCAGCTGTCAAGCCGACAGAGGTCAGAATATGAAGCTGCCTCGGAACATCTGCCGAGTGTTCAGGAGGAAAAAATTAAAACTGATGGACCAGGGCTTCTTACACACACACACACACTGCCACTACCTATAATAGATTAACCAGACTTTATCAGAGATCTTATGAACTGGGAAGTAGTTGTAAATCCATGTTGGAAGAGGACTTAAAGTGTAAAAATAAAACCACATCAGGCTTGATGACAACTTGTGGGATGTATAAGAGCTAAGCTGCTGCTAAGCAAAGATGTAAAGTACAAAGTGGCAAAATGTGTTGGAAGATTAGAAATGAAATCAGGCTTAGATGTTTGAGTGGTGATACTGTATGGCCAATATAATACAGTAGATGACTTATTTTCATCCAGGTGTGTGAATTTGTGACATACAGACATGTACTGGATTATCATCACAGAGATATTATATATTTTTTTAGCACATCTGTCCAGTTTCTGCGTGAGTGTTGCATCAGTGTGATTTAAACGAAGCAAGTTTGTGAGCCCGCAAGTGTTTTAATCCCTGTGAGTCTTGCTAACACCCTCTGCCTGTCATCCCTGACCAAATACAAATAGTAATGATTGTACTCTATAATGCATTAGTCTAGCAGGATATTCAGACAACTTTCTCATGTAAGGCATAAAGCCTGCCTTCTTTCTATATATTTTCAACCTTACAATAAAGGGCTAGTAGATTAGAGCAAATCTGCTTTGTTTTGTACTTACCCAGAGCAAACTTGATAATGTTGGATTTTTTTTTCTCTGCGTGCAGTTTGAAGTTATACTGAACATGTTGAATGATAAAATCAAGTTCAACTTAACCTAAAGCTTAGTTCAATAACTACCACCCTGTGGCACTCACCCCCACTCTGATGAAGTGCTCTGAGAAACAGGTTCTTCAGCACATAAAGAACAACATCCCAGCCAGCCTGGATCCTTACCATTTTGCATTCAGAACCAACAGATCCACAGAGGATACCATCTCCACTGCCCTCCACTCAGCCCTTGCACACCTAGAGAAAAACAAGACCTACATCAGAATGCTGTTTGTAGATTTCAGCTCAGCATTCAACACAATCTCCCCCATGAAACTTATCAGCAAACTCAGCACTCTGGGTTTAAATACAACACTCTGCAACTGGATATTGGACTTCCTCACAAAAAGACCCCAGTCAGTTCGGATTGGCGAACACACCTCCTCCACTTTAGTGCTCAACACTGGAGCCCCCCAGGGCTGTGTGCTCAGCCCCCTCCTGTTAATGCTGTACACTCACGAATGCATACCCCGACATGGAGAGAACTCTGTTGTGAAGTTTGTGGATGACACTACCATCATTGGCCGGATTTCAAACAACGATGAGATCTCATAACTGCTCACAAGATCAGTGGTGCCCATCTCCCGAGCATCAGTGATATCGGTGAGGTGAGGTGCCTACTCAGAGCCCAAAGGATACTAATGGACAGTACCCACCCAGCCACAGCCTGTTCACCCTGCTGCCTTCTGGGAAGAGATATAGAAGTTTCAGCTGCCACACCACCAGACTGCAGAGCAGCTTTCCCCCCCAAGCTATCAGACTCTTAAACTCTAATTCAACCTCAGCACTGCTCCATTGATTATAGTTTATTTCTGTTTACCAATTTTTATAATTGATTTTGCATTGATGTATATTGTCTGCTATGTAGCAGAAGGGAGTTACAAAACTCAATTTCACTCTATAACTTGTTATATTGTGACAATAAACCTACCAACCTACTGACCTCTATGGGATCAGGTAGCAGCTCCTCTATAATACACCTTATTCAGCATCAAGGGAACCTAGCATCCAAAATTTCATTCAACAATATATTATTGTTTGGAACTAGCCTATTTTATCTGTTGCTTTGGCTGCTGTGGTGTTTGATTATCTCAATTCCTTGTTATTTTTGACAGTACAGCATGTGCTGTAGTTAGAGTAGATGTTCATCTTTCAAGTTTAATTCATTTTTAACCAGCCCCGAGGTTGTACTGCATAGTCTGGACTCAAACATGCTAACAAGGAGGCTAAAACCCATGGGTGCTATTATCATGTGCTATCATTAGGCGCTAGTGCTTCTCTTAAGGCGTCTCTTAAGGCATCGGGGAGTTGAGGTTTACTTATTGCACAGCCTTGCTGGATATCATTACTCTTTACTTATCTTTCATCTGATATCCAGCTATTAAGACAAGCTAGGCTATCTCACTTTTGACCTATATACACTACACAATAAAAACGCATCCACATGTTTTAGTTATCCCAAAATAACTATTGAGTAAAATTGTCGCACTGTACCTTACACAGAATACTAACCAGCTCTTGATCTGCGCTTTCTGCACAGAACACTGATATTTTGAATACTGCGGTGCTGACGGGCAAAATGGTGTCTGTCCCTGTAAAGACTCTGGCTGTGGAGGCTGATGGCTCAGTCACTGATGTGACCAACTACACCAGCTGTAGGTCTACAGATGAGGATGTACTGAAGGTAAGCCATTACAACCACAAGCTTGGATCAACTTGGATTGAGATGCTTACACAAACATTTCCATGTTGCTTGAAATAACACATAGGAAGTATTTTGCTAGATATTGCATTTGTAATCAGGAATAAACCTTTTTTTTTTGCACTGCCAGAATTGTGATGTAACTCTCCAGTGTATCTTGCAGATATTACATTACAGTGGAATACGTTTCATAGTTATCTCAACAGGTCCAACTCTGGTCTGTGTGTGTGTGTGTGTGTGTTTGTGTGTGTGTGTCAAAGCATCGTGGATGAAAGCAGACTCTTCCATATGGCATTAGAGACTGAGCTCATGATCCCATCACTCAGTCCATAAGCACAGTGATTTGACCTTTGTGTAATGGATCCATGTTAGTGGGACAGCAGGAACTGAGAGAGAGAGACAGATAAGAGAATAGAGAAGACGAAAATAAATGTTGTTATTTTCCAGTAACTAAGTAAGTAAAGTTTATTTCTAGAGCACATTTAAACACAGCTTAAGCTGACCAAAGTGCTGTACAAAAGAACAATCAACAAAAATATGAAGTAAAAAGAGAAATAACAATGAGAACAATAAAACAATTTTTTATCTTCAGAAAAGATTTAAAAACAAAGATGCAGGGAGCACATCTAATACTTAACAGCAATTGGTTCCACCATCATGGAGCAGCAACTGTAAAGGCTCTGTCACCTTTTAGTTTTAGTCGTGACTGTGGGACAAAGAAGAGAGATTTGTTGTCAGATGTGTTGCCAGAGAGATAGGAGCTGAGGGCCAGTGAATAAGGTCTGTGATATAAAATGCGGCCTGACCATTAAGAGCCTTGAAAGCAATCAGCAAGGTCTAATTCTAAAACAGGGGGGTGAATGAAGGGAGGAGAGGACTGGGGTGATGTGTGTACACTTTTTTAAAGAATTTTTCTGGCATTTCCACATTATTTGATGGTGATAGTAGAGAAAGACAGGTTCTTAACTAATCATGAGTATTCTTAACTGATTTTGAGTATTTCAAGACAGGGCTTATAATCAAACACCCAGGAGAGGCTGTATGGAATCCCTAGATTTTAGTGGGAGGTACAGCAGTGAATCATCAGCATAGAAGTGCTAGGAGATGTTATACTTCCTAATAGATGGAGGGTTGTTATTACCTAAAGTTATTCTCTTGACTTGGCATCAGTACACACAAAAGCATGGCAGGATAATGGCATAAGCCATCAACTGAGTCATGACTGGCTCACTCGGTAGAGCACACGCACCGTGTAACAGGGCTATGTGTCCTTATCACAGCAGTCCGGGTTTAAATCTGACCGAAGGCTCATTTGCTGTATGTCTTTCCCTCTCTGTCCAAACATTTCCTGTATGTCTTCACCTGTACTATCCTCAAGCTGTTTCACTGCTGTGGAGGGCTTTGAACCCTGATTGAAATAGATCAAGGATCTTGTTGGTATTCAGAAATGGTTGCAGTTGCGACCTGACAATTTTCTCCATTATTTTTGAAACAAATGCTAATTTAGAGATGGGCCAATTGATATTTAAACATTTGACATCATGGTTATGATTTTTAACTGAGGCTGGACAACTGTGTGTTTAAAACATGCGGGGACAATGCCAGTGGCTAAGCTACAATTAATAACAACTTGAATGCTAGGGCTAACCATATCAAAAGTATCCTTTATGATATGGGAAGGCATAGCAAAACCAAAAAATGGCTGACTCGCCATTACCAGTCCATGTCTCTGTGTAAAAATAGAAAATCCAAATCATAGGAGGTGAAGAAGTCTTATTAGACACAGACCTAGAGTTAACTAGGGCTATTTTCACCTTAAAGCAAATCACCAGTTGCCGTGACTGTTGAGCGTATTCCAGTGTCATTAGACAACACGGCAACCACTGGCCTTAAGGTAGTGTGTTTAATTGCAGTAAGTTTAAGCGAGTGAGAAGAGCCAAAGAGAAGGCGACTTTGTTTGCAGTGATTTTCTGTATCAGTAGAGGAACTTAATCCAGTTATTATTGTGTCTCTGAATGCTTTCTTACGCTGCCACCAGTCACTGACCCCTCTTAGAGCAATGCTACCGAGCAGATGAAGTTAAAGCTTAAAGCCACCAACTTTTATACTGTAACTGCCACAAGGGTGAATCTAAGTTTCAAAAACTGTGTAGTTGTACATTTGATCCCTTTGAAGTAGCATTTATTGATTTTCTTGGCCACTTGGGAGCAGCTGAACAAGCTGACACTGACATGTTATCACATTATAAAGTTGTTATTGAGAACAAGCAGACAGTTGCCGTTTAACACATTCAGACAACGCAGTGCAATGGTATGACCCCTTGGTGAATTTCAGTTTAATTCACTCTAATAATTAATTCACTCTTTTTAGCTCTGATTTGGTCTCTACCAACATCTGAAGGCAATACCTGGCTCTTTAGCTGCTAAATTTATATTTACAGAATTTCATTCTGCAACACAGAGCTGCACAATGAAATGAAAGTTGTAGCTTCTTTCACACTACTCATATAGAACATATACAAATATTTGAAATTAGAATAGAATAAGAAAATATATATATCTACAGTTGCTTATAGCTGGAATAGCCGGAATAACCCTACCGTTACTTATATGTATACATAAAAAGGTAGTAGTATTGTAATGTGCAAAACCAGCATAACAGAAAATTCAATGTCATCCAGCAAGATGAACAGGCTGTGGCTGGGTGGGTACTGTCTTTTTAGCATCCTTTGTGCTCTGCACAGACACCTCACCTCTCCAATATCACTGATGCTCGGTAGATGGGTACAAAGAGGAGTTTCATAGAGGAGGGGGACAGCAGAGTCGGGTGGTTTGTTACTTTTGCACTACACATAGTTCTTTGACCTATGATTTAATCTATTTATTAGTCCACCTTTTAAATTCATGTATACTTTACATTTTTAATGACCATTTAAAGTTTGGGTTTTTAGACATTCATTCAGCAATTGGCATCTATTCATTTCTGTCAGTAGACTCCTGAAAGTTTCTTTAGTTGGGTAATAGACCTATGCCACATGTTCAAGATACTATGCTCCTCATTTATTTTGATGGTTTGAAAACATTATACTTGAGCACTTTATCTGGACTGTAAATGGAAAGCGTGTTTTCTCTTATACGGAAATTAACAACGATATGATTTGATGATATGATGTTTTTATAAAGTACACAATCAAAGCAAAGTTTTACTAGTCTGCTTATAGATTTTCATATTGAAAAGAAATTAATGGATAACAATGGAGGGCTGTATTAGTAGATAAAACATTCAAATTTCTAAAACAGCAGGATGGTTACTGTTGATACTTAATGGGCTTAAACATGCAAAACCGCTTGTACTGGTATTTTAAGATACAACATTCTTAATCTGCTGTAGGCCCACAACTGCGCATGTAGACAGGACTGCTAAAATATGGCCCAAGGAAAGACAAAAAATGCAGGATAAAGAATTACTTTAAAAGGTCAAGTTGTGATGTTTTTTTATCAACATCTCATCACAGAGCTAAAAAAATCCAACATGAATTAAGTTTATTTTCCTCTCCATTAACTACAGTACATGTAGTTGTGTTGGAGAGCTGCACAAGACATCAGAGATTTTGAACTGGTCCCTCAACTTTGTCACAGGAGTTCAAGTTGACTTACCTCGGAAGTCATTCCTCCCTCTGCTTTTTCCTCACTTTTTCCGCTTCCCCTTTACACCTTCCTCTCTCCAGTGCTGCACTGTATATTCTCCAGTCTAGTGCCCTCCAATTACCTCTCTGGAGCCACTGGTTTGTTAAGATAAGTGAGGCAGCAGTGGAGATAGGCCTCCAATCTTAAATAAAACACACCAACTGCTGTGTCCCACCTCATTGCTCGCGGTGGGGACTGCAATGCTCCCACCTACAGTAAAGCAGTACAGGAAGAGTTGTAAGGCAGAGCTAATTTATATTCAGTAACAGCTTCATAGAGACCACAGTCGTGAATTTACATGACATAAACAGAAACATTGTGTGATTCCCTGGCCAGACTTTGGAAGTACTGCGAAATTGATAAAATGTGTGTGTCTGTGTGGTTTTAGCTTATTTGTATTGGCGCCTCTGTTCCCGCATCTCCTCTCTTTTCCAGTTCTTACTAAAACTTTCTTATTCATTTTCCATGGGGCTTTACACTGACAAACCTCCACTAGTGCATGTCTGGAGAAAGTTGAATCCAAATCACTAGACAACAGTTCAGTCCCAACTCTAGTCCAGTGATTCTGAAGCGATTCTGAACTTTTTAAAATCCCCTTTTTGCCCAATATCAAGATATTTAAAGTTACATGCTGGCAGAAAGAAAGGAACACCATCTAACCCAAGTTTTTGGGCCAGATTCAAACCCATAACATTGCCCATGCACCCTCATTCACTTTTCCTTTCTTTCTTGTCTATCTTGTTCAGGTGTCAGAGCGATGTGAATATGTGTTTGTCAATGGGAAGGAGACTAGAGGAAAGAGCAGGGTGATGCTCAACTTCACTTATGGTTTCCTGAGTGCTCAGCTGGAGATGAGTGTATGGATGCCCCGTCTGCCTTTGCTAATAAATGTGGCTGACCCCGAGCTCAGCCAGATTAAAGGCTGGAGGGTCCCTGTTACTACTGGCAACAGGAGGTAAGACTGGACCAGTTCTGTGTCAAAAAGTTCTGCTGTTGCTAGCGGGATGTATATTGATTCTGAGAGTACAATTGAACAACAACAACAATGCACATCCTAGTGCCCAATTGGATGGGTGTTGGATAACAAAATATCTATCAGTGTGGGAACAGATAAAGCTGCTAAACCCCAAGAATTTTAATAGCTGTGATGTTGCGAGCACAAGGCTGTTCCTCAGATTTCTTGAAGTCAGAGGTTTGTTGAGCTATTAAAACCCTTTTAACAGGAGCTACTTGGTGTGTGGATCTATCTGTTTCAACTGCTTGATTCTGATGGTACCATGTAGAAAACATCATAGTTAAAAGCAAATGTGGTACAAAGTAATTTTAATTCCTAAACTTTGTGTTTCCAGTCCTTAACAAGCCATTATGGAACAGCAGTAACATTATGCTAACTTCCACTATCAATGACAAATAGCTAATATTAGACATGGCTGAATGTTTTATTGATTTTAAAAGACAACATTCATGCTAATAATAATGATATAATGATTTTGTTGCCACACTGACTGTGATGAGGGCTCACTGATGTCTGCAATGTTAACCACTTACAGTAACTCTTAGCTAACATTAGGCTAAGCTATAGCTGACCAAAGAACATTAATGCTACTAGCCTAAGCCATTTACTGTTCTTTGTGAAGCCAAGCATTTAAAAATGTGGAAGTTGTTTTGTGTATATGTGATTCTTGTGTCTCTTTCTGAGCAGAATGTTTTTAATGTTTCCGTTCTTTCTTGCAATAATCTGGGGTATCTGCGGTTTTAGTGCTGGTGCACACAGATAAGAATCATCCCTTGCTATCAGATCACATTCAAGTTTATTGATTGTCAGTCAAATGTGGATTAGGCTGTATGGCAATTTTTGAGTCTGTCGTTAGGTGGTGTTGATTTGGATTACAGCATATTGAGACGGTGTGTTTCTAATATCCATTTGTATACTGTTTTAGTTGGCAGTTCCAAAAACATCACGTGTGTGTTTGGTGTATTAGTGGGTGGGGCACTGTAGAGGCAACACAGTTACCCCGGAGATAAAGGTTAGTGGAGTTTCACTCAATACTTACAGTAAAGTCATTATTTTTCACTCAATACAAATGATGATGGCCAACTGATGGTCTGTTTTCTCCAGGGTAAAAACTCTTTGGGGCTTTAATTTTCCAAAAAGTTCAATACTCAGGACTGGAAACAAACGAGGTCAGAAATGTGAAATCTCTAATGGTGATTGTAATGGCCAGGCTCATGATGAAAAAAGGAGGGCAGAAAGAACAGTATTAATAACCTCCATGACTTTGACAAAAGGATTGAGGAATGAGTTAGTTTTCTGTCTGGTGGAGTCACACTTCTTTAATTCAAGCAGCATCTCTATGGCATGTTAAGCTCGGACCTTAGGCTATATAATAATGATGTTTATTTGGACTGTAGCTCTTGACAGTGGCTTTCTGCCTGCAGTGTTAAAGCATATCCACCAGCCCTCCAGCACACCTGTGGTGCAGTGCGTGGCAGACCAGCTGTGCTTATGATAATTATATGATCATTGCTGAGGGGTTTCAGGATGGTTTTCAGCTTAACCTCTATCAACCACAAACAAACCAGTCAGCCGTGGGATCCTGGTTAATTTAACTTAAATTCAGTTGGAAGGAAAGGTCACACAGCAATTGTTTTGTGCCTCTACAGCATCAACAACTACACTGCTGTTCTCAAATATTATTCTTGAGTTTATTGTTAGAAGTGACATTTAGGAGTTCATCTGACTGATTAACTGCATGATTTTGTAGTGTCATCACCAATTAAAATGAGGTGATCAACACTCATAATGTTTTTGTGATTGAGTCTCAGTGCATTTTACTCAATAATTCAGCCATTTGGTTGCAGCTTGGTTAAAAAATGCATTTAGAGTTACTACTACCCAGAACTTTTTGCAGCAGATTCATATCACACAGAATTTTGTTATACTTGTGTTAAACAGTGAAAATATCTACATATCTGTAAGTAACTGTGTAGTGCAATGTTTAGTTTATTAAATGTATTTATATCAGGGACCGTGTAAAAAAATATGATGTGTATCAGATACAAAGTAATTTCCATCTGTAGTCCCTCCTATTTGTCAAATAACACATTATTTATAATTTTGTCCCTAAATAAATTCTTATTTGCTGTCTTGAAGAAGATCGGTACCACTTTCATGCTTGGACACTAAATATAAAGTGTGTCTATGAAATACAGTCAGCCGGCGGTTAGTATAGCTGGCCTTAGCATAAACACAAAACGGAAAAACAGGTGTATGCAGGTTATGTGCTAGGCTATTTCTTAGAATCTCTGTGCCTTGCCAAGAAATAATTCAGCAAACAATCTTCGTAAAAACTAAATTTGTACTTTGGTTTTTGTATGGTTGAACAAAGGATATATAATATGTTAATTAGTGAGCTTTAGAGGTGCCTGAAGTTGAATTTTGTTATCCTTGGACAGAGCCAGGCTATCTGTTGCTACCTGCTTTCAGTATTTATGCTAAGCTAACCACTTCATGACTGAAGCTTCATATTTAGCATACAGGCATGAACATGATATCAGTCTTTTCATTTAACTTTCTACAGAGAAAGTAAAAAATATTGTTTTGTAAACTATTCTTTTGAACTGTACAGTATGTGACTTACTGTGTATCATTACCTTTGTGTGTCAGGTCAACATGGGACAGTGAGGAAGAGGAGGATATGAGGAAGGGCAGGGGTTGCATGCTGCAGTACCAGCATTCTACACTCAGGGTGCTAACACACTTCATAGCCCAGGCTGACGCTGAGGTGCTGCCTGATCCGCTAACGGGGGCAGAGCCTGTAGAGTACTTTCTGGGTCCTGACTGGCAGGTAAAAAAGATCCATTATCTTCAGCTATCATAAGAATGTAATAAGCATGGCAAAACAGTTCATTGGCCTACCTACACCTACCTACCTACCTGCCTACCTGTGCGCACTCTACTCATGTACTCACTGCACATGAAAATGGGTTTTGGGTGAGTGGCTTTGGAAGGATGATTAATTTTATTTAGGATGGATGATTAATTATTTATTTATTCATTACCTACTAGCTTTAAATTTGTCAGACAGTAAATAGAAGTTTTATGTTTTACAATTTACAACAGCTAGCTAGACACTAAATTAGTGGAACAATAATATCATATATTATTACAGAAAAATGTCACACAATTAAAGGTCTTTTCACTGCGCTTCCCATGCAAAAAGACAGGCAGACCAGTGCTCCAGGAGTAAACACTAAAACACTAAACGCTCTTTGCGTGGTAACCATGGAAATGAGTTCTGTGCACATCTGTATGCCTGCCGGTATAACTGTATTTTCTTTATAGACTAGTTTAAGTTAAAACTATACCGAATGTTACCTGATACATCTAGTCTTGCGCTGATAGGCTGCCATACACAAGCCCTCCTGTTTATGTCATGTATTATTTATGTTATATAAAAAATATAACTGTTTAGAAAACCGGCTGGTGGGTGTGCGCATTAGACAAGCACGACCATGACAGTTTCATGGGATTTTGCCCGTTTGCCGCTTGCCTGTCAGATTACCTGCATCTCCCTACCTGCCCACTTGCCTCTTATTGTAAATGAATTACTAGGGGCTTCTGTTGCTTTCCATCTGAAAGGAACGTAAAATTATTTTCTCTCTTTTGATTGACAGGTGGATGTGACCAATCTTGTACGCTATTCTCTAAAGGTGATAGATCTTGATGTAGCCAGGGTGCAGGATGGGGTGGTGCTGCAGGGACGTGCTGTGGGCACCACTACTGTGCAGGTGAGACATGATGTGTGTGTGGTTTTAGCAGTTGCTGTGCATGCTTTAATCATGTAAATCCACCTGCGGTTTTATTGTTGCAGGTGCTGTCTCCTCTGACGTCATCGGTCCTGGCTGAGAGGAGCATCAGGGTGGTGGATGACAAAGTGAGTGTGACTGAGCTGGGGGTGCAGTTGGTTTCTGGACTCTCTCTGTCCCTACAGCTCAGCCCAGGGAGCAACAGGGCCATTGTCGCCACGGCAACCACTCGGGAGACGATCACGCAGCTCAAACAGGTAAGTAACTGGAAAATTGTAACACACAAAGCATAAAAGTGTGAGCCACGGCTCAGCTGTTCGTGATGGTACTTGTCTCTTTTTATGCCTGTTAGTTTTACAGTTACTCATTTTTAGCCATATAACTTGTGAAGGACCATTCAACAGAAGGGGAAAATTAAATGGGACAAGAAATAAACAAAAGCAGTAAATTATAAATTATAAATTAAATGTGAGATTATAAAAGTGTCTTCACCTTGACAACACCTCTCAGTGTCAACCCCATGGACAAGGTTTCATCAGAGAGCTTTAGGCTATGTTTAAATATCAAAGTGTTTTTGTCTGTACTGGGTGATTATTTATTGGCTTTTTAACACATAAGCTATTTCCCTTGTAGTGTACTGCTGCCATTGTGGCTATGCTTTTGAATAGTCTGAAACAGTCCTTTTTTCTTTAAACGTTTATTACGCACGCCCGCTTGAAACAGTCACAGATGCATGTAAAATAAAGCAGCAGCATACATAACATCATAGACATCATCCTCAAAGACCTGCATTTTAAGACCAACATGCTTCTTGTCCTGTTAGCAATATGTGTAGCTAATAAGTTTGATTTTCCCACATGCAAATCAAACCTTGTAAGTAACATCTAATCTTAGTGTTTAGATTTAGGATTTAGCAGTTATTTTATAGTCTGGTTGAAGCCAGAGGAATTGCCTACATTGCAGGTATAGTTAATCTCTTTTAATTGATTATTTGATTGGATTTATTTAAATTTTGATTTAATTTGCTTAGATCTTAAATCTATTGCATTATATACATATGCCTGGAGAGTACAGTTTTAGGGCCAACTTGACCAGCGGGGAGACAACCGCCTTAATTCAATGTTAGACATACATGTTTGGCAAGACATCTGTAGGGGCCGAATAGTTGGAAGTCACTACATTCAATGAAACATTTTATTTCATATATCAGGGTACAATGGATACAAGTAATAGAAAGTGATCATGCAAGGAATTTAATTATTTTGAATTGAAAGGGGAAAATATCTTGTCCCTGTTGTTCTGAAAGGTGGTTGGAAGAAACTCCGCCTTGGTTAGGTGGCGGTGGAAAATTTGGTGCATGACAGGGATTTGTATCTGGACAGAGAGACAGGGGAGATAAGTGGCATCATCAATGTAGGAAATAGTATCTAGAGATCTGTAGAGGAGTCATGGCTTATCTCCAAGAAAAACAATTTCTTCTCATGATTGGACTAAGAGAAACTTTGCCCTCTAGTGTTATTTTGTTTGGTATGACATACATATTAAATCTAAAATATTATATAAATATTAATCTAAAGGTCTCGCTTGGGGAAATTTGGTATTAATCAGCATTGTTAGGTGTGTGAAACAATCCAAATGTGAAAACAGGTCCAGTGTCTCTTGCACCAAGACGGTATTCAACAGCTGACATTTTAAGGACAAAAATCCTAAAAGCAAAAAGACAAATCTCTTATGTTAAGCAATAACCACACTATTCCACAATTATTTAAGTTTTCTCCAGTGATGTTCAGTTGTTACTGCACAGGGAGCAGAAGTAGTAAATGCACCACAAACAATATAATTTAAATGAACTTTATTGTAAAATTACACTTTGCAACTTGCTATGATAAAATAGTGTGCTATTAAACCAAGACATAATGGGCCTCTACAGAGATGATTAGAATGATAAGAATGTCCACAACAGAGCAGATTTACACAACAATGACCTTAAGGATGTAATAATATTTGTGTTTTCTCTTTGCCTCATTGTGTTCACAGCCCCGACCATCATCTACTGGTTACCATGCTGTGTGAGAGAGCGGAAGAGGCAGACAGGGTGCACAGATGATCATTTTAAAAGCTCACTCGCACATTTAGCCATGGCAGCTTGCCCATTTTAAACCAGCTCCCCGACGCAGGCATGGGGCAGCAATTAGGCGGCCCATAGCTGTTGGAGCGACAGCTCACTTTACGTACAGTGCACTGTCACTGTGGCTGGTCGGCCCCTGCCAATAACAAACTATTAGAACCAAGCCAGTGCAGATGACCAGCCAATTGTGTCTGTGATGGCAAGCTGTTAATGTTCTGCTCAGGGCGATTCATAATGTATTCAACCCGGAAATATAGGTTAGGTCAGTGGCTCACATTAGCGAAAGGAAATAGGTCATTGTGTATTAATGTGATTGGATTGACTAATTCTGCTCTTTACGTGACCCATGTCGTTGCACTTTTTCTTTTTTGTTCTTGCGTAAAGGACTTATCATACTGCCCTTATCCACTTTGGTTAAATTATATTTCACGCTATGACTTCATAGTACTATAATCTATGGTACAATGGCACCATACTGAGTGTAATCATCAGGAGATTAGCATAGGCAATTTAGTGTTATTAACAATTCGTAGGAACATAGCTCTCACTAAAGGCAGGGGAATACTGATTTGCTGCGTGTTCTGACCTGCTTTTCTCCATATGAACTCTATATTGCTCATTTTTCATAGTTCACACTGTTCTTTCTGTCTTTCTATCTGTCTTTCTTTCTTTCTTTCAGGAAGCAGTGGTCAGCTGCTGGGTTCAGTTCAGCGATGGCGCAGTCGCTCCACTAGAGCTGTTTGACCGCAGTATCTACTCTTTGACAGTCTCTACCCCAGATGAGGGGGTGGCCACAGTGCGTCGCACCCCGCAGTACACATTTGTAGTAGCACAGGGTGAAGGTGAAGGCCAGGGGGCGCTAGTTAGAGTGGAGCTGAGGATCTGTGAGGAATGCCAGAAGTCCAAGAGGAAGAGCAAGTTGGCAGTGGGCACGGGGCTTCTCAAGATCAACTTCCAGAGTAGCAGCAGATTCGTAGCAGGAGAAGGAGGTGTTGGTGATGCGGTTGGCACTGATGGAAATATAGATTTTGATGGTGGTGCATCAGAAGTGCTGGGTGAGCTTAAAACAACAGTGACTTCACAGAATGCCGGGACAGATATGGATAAATGGTTGTTCAGAAGCACCACCAAGTCCACCAAGGCACTAGCTACCATCTCAGCCACATTTCCAACAAAATATATGCAGCCACATGTTGTGTGGATTGGAAGTACAACCACAGCTACAAGACGTAACACGTATACTGACATTCCCACGACTACCACTACAACTATGAGCAAACAAAGCTTAAATACACCACTGAGCACTACCAGACCTGTAGACGCAGCAGTCGGTTTAGTTAGCGAAGGAGAAGGGCAGAAGAGAAGCTATGGAAACATGCTTGACAACCCCAATTCAGCCGTCAAAAATGACATTCCTAAAGCAGAAGTGACACCCAAGAAGGAGCTTCCTAAATCTAAAACTCCAAAAGTAATTGAGAGTGACCTCATTAGGACATTCAGAGCCATGTCGGACTTGGAAATTGGCATGTATGCCTTGGTGGGGGTCTCCTGTGTAGCTCTCTTGGCTTTTTTGCTCAACTGTGCTTCGTATAACCTCTGTTTCCGGAATCACAAGACCCCCATACAGGCAGGCCTGGCTCCCAATGGGGACCCGAAGGATCACAAGCACGACTGGGTGTGGCTGGGGAGCAACAATCATAGCACTCCCGCACCAGGTGCTCCAGCTCAAGTGTCCACTCTAAAACGTGAGGCTCATTGCCCTCTGGAGTCCCATCATTCCATAGACTCCATTGGCCACCCCACCCTGGAGAGCACCCTGCCCACTGTGAGCACCTCTGCTGTCCCTGAAAGGACTGCCACCCTGGGCCGCAGCAGAAACAGCTCCCAGCAGCAGCAGTTTCAGGGAAAGGCAATCGACCCCATGGCGAACCGTTCAGCCACTTTGCTTGCCAGGCCACATCGCAGTGAGCCACTTCATTCCCCAACCAGTAAGCGGAACCAGGTTCAGTTCACCACCTTCACCACGCTGGACATCAAGCACTTATCTGCACTGAAGAAGAATGGTGTGGACTTAAACTGGGCCAACCAGCAGACACAGCAACACCAGGCCCCTGCTGAGCCCCAGACACCTTTACCTGACATGCCATGGCCTGTGGTCAAAACTCTAGGAGAGCCCCAGTGATTTCATTGGGCTGTGTCTATCTGTGTGTGTGCATCAGTAAGAGAGAGAGAGAGAACAAAAAAGTGTACATACAGAGGATGTTCTGGTGTTGAATGTCTAAAAGAAAATAATCTGGCTTTTTGATAAAAGATGAATCACTTAAGGAGATGTATTTATTGAGATTAGATCAAAAGGATATTTTATATTAATAAAGTGTGTGAAAGCCTGTAAATACATTATATAATGGTGTACCCATGAAGGGCAGCATAAGAGATACTGTGTTAATTTTTTAAAGATCCAAAGCGATTAGCATGATTTTATCCTCTGTCTTGTATTTGAAAAAGATGTGCTCTCCAGATCAGATGTTGTAAATATACATATATCTATTCTATTACTTATTTCTACATTTTGAACTCAAAACAAATAAATTTTCATCTCTTTTTGCTTTTGTACAATTCTGTTGCCCCCGTGGAAACCGCTCCAGATATTGTTAGCTGACAGTGTAAATGCAGTACGGGAAGGATTATTTGTTGTAAGTAAATCTATTCTTTTCCAGCCTTTTGTACTTGATTTCTAGGATTCCTCCAGAGAATACCTGAAGAGTCTGTGCAATTTGTCAGAGAATATGCAACATTTATCAAGTTATTTTGAGCAATCTGTCACTGTAGTTTTCAGCGGATATTTATTCAAATCAAATGCATGCTATGCAAATATAGTCTGTGCAGAGTTTGAAGTGGACATTGTTTCTGAATTTTTTAGCAAAGTTACCTTGGGCTTAAGGCTTCTCTTGGGGACCTGGTTCTACTATGTGTAAAAATGTCTAATCTCAGTCTCTTCACACAGAGGAATACATATTCAACTCTAAGATTTTTCATGTGTGAATGAAAAATGATGATGCCTTTTTCTATGTAGCGTCCTCATATTTATAAACCAAAATGTGATGTGTATTTCCTGTGAGATCCTGTCAATAAAGAATAAATGGATACATTTGTTAGAGTTGAGATTCAATTTAATTCAATCATTGTTTTTAAAGCCCTTAAAATAGTAGAGTATCATTCATTGGAAAGCACTATGAATGGTTTGGATTATAGGCTAAAGCTCTCTGCTATGAATCAGTGGGATTTAATTATGTTTAATCACTACTGAATGTGATTTAAGGCTGATGTCATTCAGCAAAATGTCATACTGACAGCATCGTATTTGATGTGCCTGCCAATATTGGGATTCTGTGCTGCTGCACAAAACTCAGAGTAAGAGGAAAAATGATTCTCTTTTTATGTTTTGTGACAGTGTCCCCAAAGAATTACAGGTATTTTATCAATGTTGGGGCTTGTATATGATAATTCATGGCTCATTTGTCTCTTTCTCTCCATCCTCCTTCCTGTGTCTCTGAGGTGACCACGGCTACACTTCTCAAAATTACATTCTAGGAGCTGTGATGCATAAACAGCGTCCCGAGCTTAAAGGAGCCCAGATAATCTGATGCCCTGCACCTCAGGAATTGCCATGCATGCATTGGCAATATGACAGCAAGCATCGTCACTCCCTGCTGCACAACAGCATCGGGTGGATTTAGAGTGTTGATAAAAGCAATTTTAATAACTTTCTCCAAAATTCTCTACCTAGAGGCCCAGCATTTTTTTTTGTATGTGTATAAACTCTCTCCCCTTTCCAGTCGATTTATCTGTCCAGCAGCGGCAGGAAAAGTAAACAAACTCCTCCCTGAGATAAGCTGTGATTCAAAGCTCTTCTCTGCAGTGCATCACATCCCAGCATCTTTGATTGCGGACCTGCTGTATCATACAGGATGTAGAATTCAGAACTCAAAAGTTCTGACACAGTAATGATTAAGATATAAAAGTTGCATGACAACAATGGAGTAACAGAGTCAATGCACTTTTCCACTGAATTCCTGCAGACTTTTGGACCCTCTGACATTCTTTTCACTCAGTTTCATCCCTTGATCTCCTACATATAAACTGAACACCATTTAAATGCTCTATGATGTCTCTCTCTCTCTCTCTCCATATATCACAGTTCTGGGAGGGCAATACAGTTAATTATACTCATCATACAAGCTTTGGCTGCAATAGGAGGTTGTCTTGAGTGGTTGGAAAACAGCACAATGAAGTATAATACCAGTTACTATCTTTTGGCAATTCCATTGAATCTACAGATATAGCAGTCAAGGCTACATTGCATTTAATAAAGTATGTACTGTAAATCTGTGTGAGTTTGTCTTGCAAACAACAAGACAAGAGTAGAGTCCCTCCGTATCATTACAGCAGGATCTCTAATCTGGAGCATCAGCTTCCCTATTGACAGATTTAAGGGATTGGGGTCATTGTGTTGGAGGATTAGTGTGTATTAGTGGACCCTCTCCATGGCACACTCATGATAATGTAGGCCAAAATGTACAAGGTCACTTATTTCACAACGCTGCTTCCCCATGCTGGACACAGATGGAGGCAGGTGTTTATAGGAAGGTGTAACTGCAAATGGAAAAACCTACTTGTGAAAATGTACTGTAGTTTAGATGATATATACAGCTCTTTTATGGTCTGTTTAAGTGAATAAAAGTACTGTAACTTGATTTTAAAAAGGGAACATAACAAAACAGATGACAAACAGGCATGACAAAGATAGAGAAAAGAAGACAGGCACACACAGAAGTCAGACCTGAGATGAATAAGGAGATGAAAGAGGTAACTCTCATATCACAGGTGTAGGGGAACTTAGACTGTATGGCAGCTCATTAAAGCAAAGCACCTCATGCTTCCCCGCTACACTCGTTGCTGTCATTGCTTGTCAGCACAGTGTCAGTGCTTGGTGTGCATCATAAGATAATGTCAGCAATTTTACAAAGAAAAAGACAAAAGGCAGAGGAGAAGTTCTTTGAGTTAATGAGACAGATTGAAAGAAACAGCTTTGTTGGAGCAGAAGAAGGGACATACTTAATTGACAAAAGAGTAATCTCAACTAGAAACAGTATGTAGGTAACAAGTAAATGAGTGTGAACTGCAAAATGGGAGAAGAGGTTGAGGGCTGGGAAGATAAGAGAGAACTCAAGGAATAGACTGGGCGGCCCGGTCACATTTCCAGGTCCCAGATTCAGATGCACAAGGTACCCTGTGACTATATGAGACCCACAGGGCTGAGCTTTCAGGAAGTCAGGTTATTTAGTGCAACAAAAAGTGTAAAAGTTTGTCTGTGGAGGTGGTGGAGTGGATAGACTTTCGACCCAGCCGACCAGGGTTCGTGTTCAGTGTGAAACCAAAAGTCGATGTTGTGAATAGAATTATTTAAAGTTTAAGTCACTTACGTCACGTGACTTCCTGCTACCTAACCAATGTAACGCATCCCTCCTTTGCCAAAACAGCGTTTGCCAAAACAGTGTAGTACAAAACACATCTGATCATGTCCCAGAGCTTCGGGCTCATTATCTCCCAAGCCATGGCGCTTGTATCAACGAGTTGCAAAGAAGCATGATGACAAACAGTGGGGAATAACGGTTGAGGGGGGAAAATAGTGTACTTGCTTCTCAATACACTGTTGGACGTCTCAGCTGCCTCTAAAGTCTGCTCTGCCTTGGCCACGAAGTGTTGGAGGGGTGTCAAAGATGAGTCAAAGTGAGAGTGGCCGGGGTCTTGGTGAGACTCTCGCCATGGAGCTTTCTTGTGGGTTTGTTGGGGGCAGCTTAGTGAAGTGATATGAGCAGCAGAGAGACGGGAATGTTTTGCATTGTATGTTCTGCCGCTTTAACCAAGTAGGTTTCTGAAGGTGTTCTCTTATTCTCATTACTTTTCTTAATAATTAATATCAGAATCATCCTCTGTGTGCAAAACAAACCCAAAGCAAATTAAATTCATATTGGATATGAGGTAAACCTTTGGTGCTACGGAAGCTATTGTCATTTTCCCCCCAAGCTTGCTAACTTACACACTCAAATCAAATGTACATATTATTATATTATCTTTATTGGTGTGTTTGCTCTGTGATATTTGTGTAGTGCATGGAATTTACTGTTCATAATGTGAATTTTATATATGGAAATCAGAGTTTAAAGGTATGTCATTTTCAAAAAATGATAAAATCTGCTACAAACTTCACATTATATCATACAGCTGTGACGGGTGGATTAAAATAGCCTGCAGGAATGAGAAGTGTTGCTTTTATAGTAATCCAGGCTGCCACCACAGATGTCACAAGTCTTTCACACATCGCAGATGAGTTCTTTCACCTCCAGCACCTTGCTTCTATAATCTGAATTTATTTTCTAAGGCTGTTAATGTGTGGCACACAACTAAACCCTCTTTGGAAAAGCCATGAAAGACTTTTTATGCTGTCTCATTAAGAAAACATATTGGTTGATTGCTGTTTGGCCGTTTTTATGAGTTGTATGCTGCAATGTTGCAAACAGAAATAATAGTGTTGGTACCTTCAAGAAAAATGAAATGATGGGCCTGCATAGCAAGTCAGACGCACCATGGCGACATTAAAGGTGTTTGTAATGGAATAGTTGTATTCATCCCTGAGATAGCTGGAGGCGCCCGTCTGGCTTCGCAGTTACTTTTCCACCTCATTTCACATCTGAAGAGCAAGGTGTGTGTGTGTGTGTGTGTGTGTTAAATATACACAGGAAGTGTGCCTGTGTCTGACTGTGCATGCATGTGTATGCCTGGGTTAAGGATGAAGGTAAAGGAGACAGAACTAAGCTGGCAGACGCAGCAGAAATATGGAAAACATATGACAGGTTGCAAGGTTGCTATGGTAGAGTTTCTTGAAGCTCACACAGATGTTTGAATGATTTCTTTTTTTAGCTGACGGACATTTTGAAGGAACAGTATGCATCAATGTTTCATCTACAGAAGCCCATTTGTTTCTGAAATGTGGTCTTGTCTTGTATACTGTAGACATTTCTCTATATCCATTTAATCCTAGACAACCATTATTTTCCCTCATTCACTCTTTGCCTCTCTGTCTCTTTCTCTTACACTTGATTCCCCACTTTCCACACTTTATAAATATGCGGCATTCATCTTGCCTACAGCCCTTAAACAAAGACTGCCTGTCTTGCTATTTTCCTCCTTCCCTCACACCTGCCACTCTCACTGTATCCTCTTGATATTTGTTTCCCCTCATGTTTTTTTTTGCTGACACCGTGTTTTCCTCTGTCTTCGGGAATATGTCAGATACAAGGTGAAACAACAGGATTTAGGATTCATTCTGATTTGAATCTTCAATGGCTCCTTAATTGCAGTTAACTTCTTGAATTTTGCTTTTGTTCCATCCATTCCATTCAGATGTAATAAGTTTTAGTAAGGTAGAAATTTTTTTTAACCATAATAAGTAACAAATGAAATACAACAGATTATAAATACCGTAAAACTTCAGTTAATAGCAAGGGCTATTATTTGCCCCAATCACTGAACTCACCCTTGCCGACATTGTATATTTGGGACAGGTGTCTATATGGGACAGGCCTTTAATCCCTTTCACACAAAACTCTTGCTCAGCAAAAATAGGCAAATAGGCTACTATCAAATTGTTTATTTCAACCTGTATGAGTATAAAAAGGAGGCCTTTTTCGTCTTGTTTACCATACCTGTAAATCTGAATTGTTTCCATAAAATCATTGTGTTTTAGGATGGTTGTTGAGCAACCACGTTCTTTTTTCCCCCATTCATTTTATGTAATTACTTCTGCCATGGAGGAAATGATTTCACCTCTTTTGTAATAAAAAGAAACAAAATACACCTAATTTATAACAATCAGTTACACTAATGAAAAATAAATCGTCCGTTTTATTATTCTTAAAATAATATACTCTGTGGCAGGTTGTCGCAGGCTGTGGCAGGCGGTGGCAGGCAGTGGCAGGTAGTGGCACCCTGTGGCAGGTTGTGGCAGGCTGTGGCACCATGTGGCACCCTGTGGCAGGTAGAGGCACCCTGTGGCAGGCTGTGGCTCAAGAAGTAGAGCAGGTTCCCAAT